AAAAAAAAAAAAAAAAAAAAAAAAGAAAAGAAAAGAAACTTCAATCACCAGTTGTAAAGCAGGTTACACAAAAATAACAAAAAAGTTTAGTCAGCTGCTGGTGGTTGTATGTCAGATGTGTACATGCGATTATATACTTCTATGTTTGACATTTAAATAATATATTTAAGATACTTATTTAACTAATTTTCTGCCTAAATCAACTTTTTTGCTTAGTTTTCCTCATTGCATGGGATTAAGAAATCTTCACTGCAGATTGTTATAGTGATGTAGGTGAGACTGTGAACAAGCTTCCTCTCCAGGGCTAATGAGAGCTTTCTTTCACACACAATGGGCATGGAGTAATTTCCTTCTTGCCAGGCAAGTGGCTGCTTAGCTTTGGGAACAGGGCTTCCTTGCATTCAGGAGTGGGACTCAGCTCCCTACATAGACAGCGTCACAAATGGACCTCCTTTTCCAGACCTGAGGACCTATTTAGCTCAGCAGCTGTTACTAGCAGAGCCCGAAGTGGAAACAAGCTCTTCTCTTACTCTGTAGCATGCTATCCGCACTGCTTCACCAGCACCAAGGGAGGCTCGGGCCAGGCGCGTTGGTGGAAACTGTACTGTATTGCTTTCCTTTTTTTCTTCCTCTCGTTTCTTCTTCTGGAGACTATAATTCAAATTCTAGCGTCTAGTTTACATGTGAACTTTCAGAAGGCCACCCATTTGCTTGTTGGAAGAGATTTCATGTCCATTTTTGGCATGTTTGAGTCTCTATTTATATATTGCTTAAATAAACATTAGCACTCATTGAAGTTTCCTGAGCATAGCTCAGTTGATTTTTGGGGAGATGGACAGAGACAGGAACCAGGCTGCAGGGTAGGACATTTAACCTGGATTTGAAATTTTGTTTTTCATTGCTCCAGAGTCGTTTAGTTCCAGCTCTCAGAGTCTCTAGTTCTCGGATGCTGAGAAGATGAAGGCAGGAGTAGTGTTACCTGTCACATTTATTTCCGATGCAGTGCCTCAGAAATACTGCTGTTAAGCCTGTGCCTGAAAAGATGAAGACCCAATGGGTAAGCAATCAATTACCTATCAGTTACTTTTAGGGTGTCACCTTAGTCACTTTCCTGATTGCTGGGACAAAATATCTGACATCTGCAGGAGAGGCTCACTTGGATTCATGGTTTGTGGAGCTTTTAATCCATAGTGGGCTGGCTCCAAGGCAGAAGCCATGGTAGCAGGGCTATGGAGGGGAGAGCTGCTCACTCAATGGCACCCTGGAAACAGAGAGTCAAGGGAGAAGCTAGAAAAGAAGCTATAGCCCAGTGTGACCACCTCTTCCAGCCAGGCTCCACCTCGTAGCAGCGAGTAAGCCTCCCGACCTACTCAACTTCCAAGAATCCTATCAATAAGCACAAGAGGCTCTTGCGGGGGGGCGTGTGAGTTCACTTCTGAAATTAAAAGGTTCCTGTGACCATCTCAGTATTTGACACACTGGACCAAGCAGAGAGATAGGGAACGTTCCTCAGCTTACTCTTTGTTTTACCTGGCATGGTTGATGGCACAGATGGGCACTGGCCTGTGAGATCTGACTGTTAGTATGTAACGGCTGTCTGTGGTAGTCACATCCAAAGTCACGGTGTCTGGTGTCCTGGTGGCTACTTCCCATTTAGGGTTTCTCCCTCCCACGGTCTCTCCGGGTGCTGGTTTCTGCAGGGCCGCCTCTGGGATGGGTGGCTAGGGTCTCAGCGGCGGGCACTGTTTGCTCTTCTCTCCCCTAGTGTTTCTTCTCCTGCTGTTCCCGCACGTGAGCCTTGAAGGCCACGTCTGTGGCCAGCACTGCCCCAGTACTTCACAGCCAGAGCAGGACACTGGCTGGTCCAGGGCGGCTTCTTTCTCATCCTCTTTCTTTCCCCGTCGGGCCCACATGTGGCCTTGCGGAACCGAGGTCGGCATTGTGGGAGGCAAACAGGTGGTGAACAAGGATCTGAATGTGTGCGCTGGTGTGTGGCAGTGCTAGTGTGAGGGGTTAGGACTCGTTCACCTCTCCTGGGTTTGAAATTTTATTATGGATGATTCATCAATGAATAATTAAAATTATTAATCAGTTAGCAAATATGGTTTAAATGACTACCACATGCCAGGCACTGTGTCACAGGCTGGCATGTGATAAGCGTGAAACAAAAGACTCCATCAGGTTCTACAGATTTTATATTCACTCTTTTTTTTTTTTGAAGATCAAAACCAAGATTTCCAGGGACAGTGGCTGTAAGCCATAAAGCCCTGTTGGAACATTTAGTACCATATAAATGCTACCAGAAAAGACAGAGTGCTAAAGTTTAGGTCCTGAGATTTAGGAATGTGCTTTCCACGTTCAGAATAACCTGTTAACTATTCAGGAGAATATAAAATGCGTGGGCATAATATTCCCTGGAGCTAATGTGTTGTGCTGTAAAGAATGCAATCTTTCCAGAGAAAAAGAAGACGCAATTCCAGGCCTGGCTCTGCTAGTAACAGGCTCTGTGATACTTCGGAGTCACTGTGGTCCCCAGGTCCCTCTGTCCTCTGTGGTGGCAATTGGGTGAGGTGACGTCTCCCATCTCTTGCTGTTCTCAAATCCTCATTCACGGTAGGATCTCAAGGCTGTTTGAAGGACCCAGAGCATCCTTTCCAGGTTCTCCAAACTCCTTCATTCCCTCCCCACGCAGCATGATATTTGAAAGTACAGACTTGGCGCAGAGCATTGTACAATCGAATCTGCCTTCATCCACCCCATGAGGCCTCCTGCTGTACGGAAGTGGCAGGAGGAGGCCACTACCTGCTTACTGACTTGAGGACTAGGCAAAGCAAAGGAAATGTTTACACTGGACTAGTATGACCAGGGGAGCAATCAAAGCCAGCACAGAATATTTGAGAGAGTGTGATCAAAACACAGGAATTCATGGTATGCAAAAGAAAGAGAGGTTCTTTTTATCTTCAAGACATTCTGGTGGAGGAAGCCGATAGGTGAAAAATGTGACAAGTCTTCATGCTGAAGTAGGAAGGGTTGAGAACCAGACAACCCAGGGAGAGAGAAAATGAGAGTACAGAGGAGAATTTTTGGTCTCCCCGGAGAAGAGAATATGCTAGATAGATAAAAATTACAGGTGGTATCTGGGCCTGGTGGCATCCACATGGAATCCTAGCACTCTGGGAGGCTGAGGCAGGAGGATCCAAGTTTGAGTCCAGCCTTAATGAGGCCCTATCTCAAAATAAAAAAATAGAAGGGGCTGGGGATATATCTCAGTGTAAGACCCAAAGGCCTTGGGTTCAATCCCCAAAACAAAAGCAAACACACAAACAAAAACTTAGTATGGTAACAGAAAAATCTGAATGTTTTAATAAAAAAGAGACCCATTGTTTCCATGGCCATTTCTGTCCCCACCAGACAGCTTTTATTGTCCAAAGCTAAAGTGTAGGACCCCAAGCCAGAATATTGGCCACAGAGAAAGTCTAGGAAAACCTCACATGACTTCTGGAATGGGGGGTACAGGCACGTAGCCTGTGAGTAAAGTGGCTGAGGTAGCATTTCCTCCAAAGTGAGAAGCTAAGATTTCCTGTGATGCTACTGCCTTTAAGCTGTATGACTCATTGGCAAAATTCACAAGACAAAAATGGATCACTGAGGATTATGCTGCCATTTTTGGTAACATGCTGGCAATGATTGCGACAGGACTCAACAAGCACACATTGGCCCTCCGAGTCGCCTTGGTTCCCATGGAGATTAACACCATCAACCGTGGGGACAACAGCCCAGAAGTGTGATTGGTGTTAGACAGGGGAGAGAAAAATGGCAGTAAAAGACTCTAGAAACGCAGCAATTGGGATGAAAAAGGAGCATGGGGTGGCGTGGCTCAGGGGAGAAATGACTTATAATGCCTTAGAAACCCGCTTCTGCAGCTCTTCCCGCCAATATCTGGGGAAGAAGTGTGGTTTCCGGTAGGTGTGCTGCACTCCGCTTTATTCACCTGGCTACTTCCAGCATGTTTTCTTACCCCAGACAGCTCATCTCTGTAACAGACGTGTACCTGGACTGCGGGATCCTGACTCTGTTTAACATGCTGAGGCCTATGGGTGGGGAGAAATATGGATTACTTAGGTGTAGGTTTCAATTTTCTTTCTGGAGAAACTATTTTTACTTCTATTCAAAGAAAACTGTGACTTCAATTTCACATTTCAGGTGATTGTTTCACATACTTTAATAAGGCATTTGGGATAAGGTTGAAGTCTGTTCCCTTTGGAATTTGAGGTGGGCGTTTGCGTTGGGCCAGCCTCCCAACCCCCCTCGTCCTTTGCAACTGGGGTTATTTGTGTACTCCTACACAGGTCACAGCAGCCTTGTGTACATGCTCATTCTTCTGGTGCCTGACTCTCTACCTCTCTCTCTCTCAGAGAGAGAGGAGAAAGTCTGCAGACTGACATTTTCTGAATTCACTATCTGTGAGGCTCAGATGAAGCAGGGCATATAAGGTGAGCTGCACTTCGTTCTGTCTCCTTCGTATCAGCAGTTGTGGAAAATGCCTATTCATTGCTGAATGATCAAACAGATGCAAGAAGAATAACTGGCTCCCAGCAAAATCAGATTAAATTGCATCAAAAGTAACTGAGCTGAAATGACAACATGCTACTTGGCAAAAGAAAGAAGACGATGGGTTTAAAAGGAATGACATTGCATTGTATTGAGAAAAATTAGAGTTAATAAGACAGCCGGAGCTGGAAAACACGCCATTATTCTCCCAAATGTTAGTTGTTGATGGCTCTTCCCTCTAGCAGGAGGTGCGGCTTGGCTTAGAGGGAGTCGTCCTGGGTGCTCAGGTACCATGGCCATTGGTGAGGTCTTGGCTGGGTCTGCAAGTGAACTGGGCCTCAGTTCATTCATCCTTAAGATGAAAGTTTGACCACGCAATCCCAAAGCACTTAGCATAGCTGCTTCACGGTAGTGAGGAGGGAGAGAGTGACACTGCTGCAGAGGGACCAGTACTGCTGCTTACACGATGTTTTCATTAAAGCCGGAAGGAAGGACCAGATGCTGTTCCAACTCAAGCAGTAGGAAAAGAGCTTCCTTCTGCGAAGGGAGGTTCAGCCCTTTTATTCTATTCAGACTCTTAATTGGTTGGGTGGGGCCCACCACCTTAGCAAAGACAACTTCAAATGTTAGTACCCTCACAGACAAATCCAGCATGATGTTTAACCCAACATCTGGGCCCCTCCCTCACAGTCTGGTCAGGTTGGCCCATAAAATTAACCATCATGATCATCCTTTCACCAAGAGATCTTGCCCCTTAGTTGCAAATCAGTGATTCTGAAAAGAATCTTTTATCATAAAAATAATTTTCAAGAACTTGATTTTTTTTAAAGGTTCTGCCCCATAGGAAGCCCAGAGTGCTGTTTTTCTGTTTAGGGAAGTCGTTTGAAATTAGAGTCTTGGGCTTTAGGAACATGCTTTTCCAATCTCACATTTACTGATCTCTTCTTCAAGGATGAGCAGTCTCACTGCGCTACATTGTGTGTCAGAGAGGCAGACTGGCCAAGTTCCTGAAAACTCAACATTCCCTTTCTGTCTCTTCTCAGCCACTTACCAGCTGTGTGACTGGGAGAATTACCGAACCCCGTTTCAGTTTTCCTTACCTGTGAAATGGGACAATAACTGTCTCTCTGATGGGGTTCTTGTGAGAATAATATTTTTAGTGCCTGAGAAGTCCGTAGGCCACTATCAATCTGGCACAGAGTGTACACAGAGTAACGGTCAGATAGTTTTATGTACCTCCCGGAGAAATGAAAGATGTAGGATGGTATTACATCTCAACTTTCCATTGCTAAATTAATCTGGTGGGAAACATGACACAAAATGTTTCATTGATGGTATTTTATAGTTGTTAGCTCAGCTTCTAGTTCTTTTTCAAGTCTCCCTTGAAGATAGCAAGTGTGCATGTGTGTACGCTGGTGCATACCTTTTTATTTGTGTGCAAAGGCCTTTGCTGATGAAGGCTGATGCCCCCTGTCTGCCCACAAGGTGGCACAGTGCTGCCATTGT